CCATACCCAGCTGAGGTGACTTCTGAATGCCAGGCCCCACCACTTTCAGCCAGCCCATCTGAACATGTGGTCCTATCAGAAGAAGACACAGTAGAAATGGAGCGGTACACACCCTCTTCCATCACTGCTTCTGAATTTTCAGTACCACCATATGCAACACCAGAATCACAGGAGGAAGAAGTTGTCTGTAGATCCCCTTTAAATCTAGAAGGTGCCTCCTCACCCATGAATTTCTCAGAAGACCAAGAAGACATTGGACCTTTTTCTCCAGACTCTGCTTTTGTGTCAGAATTCTCATTTCCACCCTATGCAACTCAGGAAACAGAGAAAAGAGAATTTGAGTGTGACTCTCCAATATGTTTAACATCACCATCTGAACACACTATTTTGTCAGATGAAGACACTGAAGAAGCTGAACTTTTTTCTCCAGACTCAGCATCACAAGCTTCAATCCCACCATACAGGCTCCAAGAAACAAACAAAAATGAAATTGAGCCTGATTCATTGTTAACTGCAATGTCTGCTTCAGGATATTCTGGCTTCTCAGAAGCAGATGAGGAAGAAATTCCATCAACAGCTTCTACACCTGTACCTGAGTATCTAAGTTCATCACAGAAGCAGAGAGCTGAACCTTCTCCTTTGATGTCTTCACCTGAAGATTTGAGTTGGCTACCTTCAACAAATGAATCAGAGAAAGCAGAAATTAAGCCAGACGCTCAAACAATCTCAACATCTGTATCTGAATATCTCATTTTGTCACAGAAGCAGAGAACTCGAGAATATGTAGAACCTGAGTCTGAAGACTTGATTCTGTCATATTTAAACAGTGAATCAGTGAAAGGGGAAATTAAGACTAGTTCATCAGTAGCTGCAACACCTGTTTCTTCACCTGAACAGTCATCTGTGAGAAAGGAAGAAATCAAACCACTTTTGCCTACATCTCAGTGTTCAGTTTCACCTGATTCAGATCACACAATTAAGAAAGAACAAGAACCCAAAGCATCACTCACTCTAAAAGCTGCCAATGAACAGATGGCTTTATTAAACATTAAAAGTAAGGAAGAAATTGTGCCGGATTCTCAAGAAGCTACAGCACATGTACCACGGGATCAAGAAATGGAGCCTTGGCCTCCAAATGTTCTAGAGTCTGGGATGAAATATTCAGTTCTGCCTGACTTGGTAGATGAGCCAAAGAAGACTGTCAAACCCAACTTAGCTCCAACTGTGGCATCTGAACTAGAGCAGAGAATGTTATCAGAGAATGAGGCTGAAGTAATAAAACCATATTCGGCTTTAAAAGAAACACTTTTATCTGGACCTCAGATTTTGTCAGCAGTGAAAACAGAAGTGAAACATGATTCTAAAATAACTGGTACACCTAGTGTACTACATTCAGCTTCACCAGGAGTGGAAAAGGAAGTTAAGCATGGACCCCCCATACCAGAATTTCCAGCTTTGTCAGAAGAAATAAAGAAAGAAATTGAACTCAGTTCTTCAATAACCACAACATCTGTAACTAAGCATGATTCAAGCTTACCCAAATTATCAAAAGAAGAAAACCCAACAGACTTATCTCTTACCACCCCTACTGAACATCCAGTCTTAGCAAAAGTAGGAGAGAGTGAATTAGGAAGTGGCTTGCCACCGCTGGTAATACCCACAGATGAGGATTCACTTCTTAAAGAAGAAGGAGAGATAGCAATTAAAGCTAGTTCTTCTCCCACTGAAACTGCTGCCTCCAAACGTCCAGCTTGGTCAGAAGTAGAGAAAGAAATTAAATTTGATTTACCTCAAAACGTATGTTCCATTTCAGAGCATTCTACTTTGTCAAAGGTAGAAGCTGAAGAAGTTAAACCTGAGTTGCCAATAACCAAAACAGTGTCTTCTCAGCACTCAGATGTATCTAAGGAAGCAAGGGTGGAAAATGAACAAGGTCTTTCATTTTCTATAGTCCTCAACTCTGAATGTTTGGATTTATCACAGGAAAAAAGGTCTGTGTCTCCCTCAGAGGTGTCAAGACCTGAACACGTGCTTTCACTCAACCTAGGTGGTGAGACAAAGAAAAGAGAAACTGAACTTACTTCCTCAGAGAATGTGTCACCTGAACCCAAACGTATAGTTCCAAAAGGCAAAAATGAGGACATGGCAAGTTCTTCTCCTGAGCTGGAACATTTAGCATCAGAAGCTTTAGTTCCAGCATTACCAACCCTCAGTGATGATAAGAACAAACAGGCAAGAGAGACATCTTCCATAGTTCAAGAAGATTTCCTATCAGAAAAACAAGATTTTGCTCTGACAGTTCTCTCTTTGGAAACTGAGAAGGAAGACAAGCTACATCAAGTATTAGAATTACCAAATACTGCCTCAGAATTCACTAGTGGTAGGGAAAGGGGATCTGTAGATACAAAACAAATAAAACCTCCCATAACTGAAACAGGGGATTCTGTCTTAGAAAAGGGCCTAGCTGAGCTTAGGAGCAGAGGAGAAAGTGAAGAAGAAAACAGGGAACTTCACGTGACAACTACAGTGCCTGAAATTTTAGAGGTTCCATCATGCCTTAGTAAAGAACCTCACATTCAAGAAGTTAAATCTTTCTCTCCTGAGGTAGTCAGCTTAGGGTCAAAAGAATTATTTTCCTCTCTAGTTGAAGGAGACAACATAGAAGAACTTCAGTCATATACTTTTTCTTTAAAAGGACTATCAGAGGAGTTGAACCACTCAGCTGACTTAAAAAAGGGGGAAAAACAAGAAGGAATAAGCCCATTACTGCCAACAGGAAATTTGAAGGCGCAAGTGACAGGAGATACTGTAACTAAACCAAATGAAGAAACTGACCAACCAAAATCACTTCATGTACCCCAGAGCACAACGGAACCATCAGAGATCACTTCTTCTGACCTCCTTGTGGAACAAGAGAAGCCTGAAAAAACACTTCATTCAGATCAAGCTGTTAAATTACCTGATGTAGCCAGGTCTTTTGCAGATAAACAAGATCTGGGTATGAAACAATTTTCATTTAAGAATGAAAATTTGCCATTGGAAGAATCAAAATCATTTATGACAACTGAGCCTACAGATATTAAAGAAACACACATGAAAAAGGACCTTATTTCTCCAGAGGATGAAAACTGGATGCTAAAAAAGCCAGAAAGAGATTTGGTAAGTCATCATGAAGAAATAGCCCAAGGACCTGCAGAACTGGGTTCCTCTGGCAGCAGTGATCTGGTGACAGAGCAGCTCAAGGCTGCTCTTTCGGATAAAGGCCATGCAACTGAAATCAGAAAGCAGGTTCTGTCACATTCTGCGAAAGACTCTCCCCTATCGTTGGAAGAACCAGTGTCTACTCTCAATATCTCCAGTGATAACGTAGAGACCTTATCAACTAAAACGTATTCTTCTGAAGACATAAAGCTGGCCCCCACAGCAAAATCTTTAGTTCCAGCCGGAAATGTGGAGGGAAATGAAGCAGAGGGGAAGCAGACCCTTTCTTCTGTGGGGAATGAAAGTTTATCAGAGGAAGCAAACACAGAATTTTCCAGGCCTTGCAAAGAAGACAGCCTGGAAGAAATGAAACAGCCACCTGAAAGAATCCTCCAGAAACCAGTGCCTGGTCCATCAATGAAACAGGTCAAATCAGAAATGATTCCCTCTCTTGCCAAAGCAGCCCATTTCCTGGCAGAAGGTGCAGAACCTGCATTAGGCAGTGAAAAAGAGGCACACAGGAGTCCATCTCCTTTACCTGTGGAGAAGCCATTAGAAGAACCAAAAGTGGTTCAGTCCAAGGTTGTAGATGATGCTAATGAGGGAGGGAAACCAGCAGCTGAAGTGCAGGTGCCCACACAAATAAAACCCCTCTCCTCAACCCAAGATGAAGCTGCTCAACCCCCAGAGTCACCCGAGGTGACACAAAAGCTGCCCAAGCAGCAGAAGGCAGGGGAGCCAGGCCTTTCTGAGGAAAAGGGAAAGAAGGGAATTTCAGCTTTCACATCGTGGGTGTCCAGTTTGTTTTTTCGATCAAGCACTCCAGATAACAAAGTTGCTGAAAAAGAAGATGTGGAAGCTCAGCCAAGTCCGTCTGTAGAAAAAGCAGTGACTGTGATCAAGCCAAGAGATACAGTTCCAGCTGACGTTCATGCAACTGAGAGACCAGCTGATCAGCTAGTGCCAGAGGCCAAACCTAAAACTGCTGAAGAATCCAGGGGTACTTTAGTTAAATCTTATGGAAAGGAAGAAGTCCTAGACTACCCAGAGGAAATGGACCTAAACTCAGTAGTTACTTCCACTGATGGTGAGGGACATCTTGGAATTCCATCTTATTTTCCGATGGCTGAGAAATCCATTATGGAAGAAGCCAAAAATGCTGTTCCTCTTCATGTCACTGATACTAAGAGTGCCCAGAAGCCAGAAATCTCCCCTCCATCTAAGTGGAATATTTCTATTTTTAAGAAAGAGCCAAGAAGTGATCAAAAAGAAAAATCACTCTCTTCATTTGATGCAGTAGACAAGGTGCCACAACAGCCAAAATCAGCTTCATCTAGCTTTGCAAGTGAAAATATCATGAAGGCATCAGAGAGGCCAGAGCCAATAATTTTGCCAGTAGAAGAATCTAAAGGCAGTTTAATTGATCTTGGTGAAGACAGACTAAAGAAAGAAATACCAAAACCTAGTTCTTTGAAAATGTCTGAAGAGGAAATAAAACTCAGGTCTGTTAGCCCAACTGAGGAGAAAGATAACTTGGAAACCAGATCACATACCTTGGCAGAAAAGAAGATGCTGGCAGAAAAACGAGAAACTGTAGCCCCATTAGAGCTTAGAGATAATAATGAAATAGAGAAGGCTCACGTTACACGTGGATCTAGCCCTGTTCAATTGGAAGAATCGAAAGCTCCTGCTGTGCTTCAGGAGGTCTATCAAAATGAAGACCACAAAGAAAGATACAAGATTACTGAGGAGGAGAAAGAAGAAGAAAAAGAAAAGCAGTCACATGTACTTTTGGAAGGAAAGAAACAGCAGGAAATTCAGCCTCATTCTGTGAATATAGCCGGGCATGTGCCTGAAGAATCAGATATCTCTTTCAGTCTTTCTTTGGGTGAAACTCGACCATTTTCATTAGTTAAGACTACAGCAGTTACTGAAAAATCAGAAGGTATGCTCCCAGAGGCTTACCCAGAAATAAGGGAAATAAAGGCAGTAGGAACCCAACCACATCCATTAGAAGAATGTAAAGTTTCAGTGGAGAAAACCAAGACTTTCCTTCCAGTGGAGCTTCCTTGTGATGAAACAGATGATCACTCTTTACCCAAGGAAGAGAATCTGGCATTGGAAAAGTCAAGCAGGGATGTGGTGAGACACAATGAAGAAAAGGGACAGGTCACAGTGTCAGACATGCCACAAGGTTCTTCAGTAGATACCACAAAAGAAAGTGTGAAACAAGGATCTCCATCTGAAGAATCTCAAAAGACTTTAGATCGGCCTTTTAGTGAAACAAAGAGCTTAGAAACACCGCTGTACTTGCTGTCATCTGTGAAACCACAAACACTTGTTTCAGGAGTGTCTCCAGAAATTAGTACAGTGAAAAAACAAGAAATACCATGGTCAGAACTGACTCCAGATAGGCATACAGTCCATACTACTCAAACATCTAAAGATCAAACATCTGAAATGTCTGAACAATCTGTTCTTGTTTCAAAGCACCACTTGGAGGCTGTGGAAGATGCCCATGTAAATGAACCACACTCTCCAGCAAGCAGTAACTATGCTCAATTTATAACTAATGCATCAACAATCAGCACTGATAAGATGGTTTCCAAGGAGCCTGAAGACACATATGTAAAAGATGAAAAGTTTACAATGACTAGCAAGCCAGCTGGGCTTTCAGAAGATCAAAAGAGTGCCTTCAGTATCATTTCTGAAGGTTGTGAGATATTGAATATTCATGCTCCTGCATTTATTTCTTCAGTTGATCAGGAAGAAAGTGAACAAATGCAAGATAAGTTAGAATATTTGGAAGAGAAGTCCTCATTTAAACCTATATCCCTCCATGATGAGAGTGAGGTGGTTGATTTCCATAAAACATTAAAGAGCATGTTAGAAGATTCTGATAAAAAAGTTACACCATTGAAAGAAAACAAACAAAAGGATACTCATACAACGAAAGAGGAGATAGCCACAGATTTAGAGACTAGTAATTTAGCCTTTAATCAGCCCACAATTCCCAGTGAAGAGGATTATTTTGAAAAGTATACATTGATTGATTATAACATCTCCCCAGACCCAGAGAAACAGAAAGCTCCATGGAAATTAAATGTTGAAGCAGAACTGTCAAAGGAAGTTCCAGAAGAAACTGCCTCTTTCCCAGAAGGTTCAGAGGAAAGTGCCCTAGAGCATGAATATGACTTGGTGAAATTAGATGAAAGTTTTTATGGACTAGAAAAGGACTACAACAAATTATCTGACCCAGAGACCCAAAAGTCTCTGGTTATTCAAACATCAGCTGACAGAGATGCTGCAAAGACCATAAACAGAGATACAGACTCCAAGTCACCTGGGATGCCTCTATTTGATGCAGAAGAAGGAGTTTTGTCACGAACTCAGATATTTCCTACCACTGCTAAAGCCATTAATCCTGAACTTCTGGAGGAGCCACCTGCACTTTCATTTTTATACAAAGATCTGTATGAAGAAGCAGTTGGAGAGGAAAAGAAAGAAGGGGAGACAGCTTCTGAAGGTGACAGTGTGAATTCTGAGGCATCATTCCCAAGCAGAAGTTCTGACACTGATAATGAAACAGGAATATATTTTGAGAAGTACGTACTCAAAGATGACATCCTCCATGATATATCTGTAACTGAAAAGGACCAAAGCCAAGGTCTAGAAGAAAAACCAGTTGGTAAGGATGATTCACATCAACCAATAATTGCAGAAGAGGAAATCTGGGAGAGGTTTGGAATGACTTTGGGGGAGAAGAGTCTAGAAGAGGATCAGAAAGCTGCTTACAGGGAGGGAGAATCAGTAGGCCACATGGAGACCCTTGACAATGTAGCTATGCAGAGGAAAGCTCCCATCACTGAGGAAGTCAAGGTGGTTACCCAGAAAATAAGCTATGCTATTCCCTTTGAAGACACCCATCACGTCCTAGAGAGAGTAGATGAAACTAGTGGTCAGAGTAATGAAGCAGCAAATGCAAATCTAGAGGTCAGTCTGAATGTCCCAGTACAAGTGTCCTTCCCAGAGGAAGAATTTGCATCTGGTGCAACTTGTGTTCAAGAAACACTGCAAGAAGAACCTCCAGTAATAGTCCCACCTGAGCCGAGAGAAGACATGCTCCGCAATAGCCCTGTTCAGGATGAGTATGAATTTGCTGAATCCCTGAATTACGAGGTGGTTACTCAAGATACTTTATCAGAAGACCTGTATTCAGAATCCACCCCTGAAGATGTGTTATCTCAAGGAAAGGAATCCTTTGAACATATCAGTGAAAATGAATTTGTGAGTGAGGTGGAACAAAGTATGTCTGCTGAACAGAGAGAGTTGGGCAGAGAGATGACAGAACAAGACCAGTTATTGTCAGAGTTGGTAACCGAGAAGGACCAGAAGGAACTGAAAAAGTCCCAGATTGACACATATTGCTACACTTGTAAAAGCCCAATTTCTGCCGTTGACAAGATGTTTGGCACCCACAAAGACCATGAGATTTCAACACTTGATACAGCTATAAGTGCTGTAAAGGTAAATAGATTTTAAAGCATGTAAGTGCATAATAATATATAGACATTTAATTTGTTTTCTCATTTTCTAAATTTTAAAAATGACCAATATTTGATATATTCATCTTTAGATATAATAGTTTAAAAAAAACCCTAAGGATATTTCCCTAGTTACTTAGTTAAGATCAGTGTGACAAACACTTACTGGATGCATACTATGTGCCAGGTATTCTTCTAGATTCTGGGGATACCAGAATAAATAACACAGGGGCACTGCCTTTGAGGTATCTTATCTTTTGTCAGTAGCCCTTAACATTGTCCCAAAAAGGCAAGTAATTTTAAATTAAAACATAGGCATTTGAGCATAAACATAATTTATTTTCTGTTATCTGCAATATCATCCTTTAAAAATACACACATATTACATTGACCATTTTATTGCAAGTTTTATAAAATACTCAAGACAGTAAGACATTTTAAATTTTGATTTTCTCTACATTTCGTCTTTATTTATAAAACTGATGCTAGAAATGGAAAACCTTTGCATTCTTTCTGGCTTTATCTATAGACTCCCAACGTCAGAAAGTTAGTCACAATATATATCCTTATGTATGTGATTATAAATACTCCACTTCCCCAGGGATACTATTGGAAATCTAGCATTTAGTCTTTAAGATTCTCATCTACCTTTCAGTGGCCTTCTAACCAGGACCCCAACTCTTATCTCATCAGTCTCTTGGCCATACAGTAGCCAGAATGATCTAAAATTGCCAGTAATAACAGTTGAGCCCTTACTATGGGCCAGGCAAGGTGTTAAATTCTTTATATTCAAGATATCTTTTAATCCTCACAACAACCATGCCATGGTCATCAATTTGCAGATTACAAAATGGGCTCAGAGAGTTTAAGTCCAAGGTCATAGAAAACAGAACTAGGATTGGTACCCAGATCTTCCTGATGCCAAAGCTCATGCTCTTGACTGTGTATCCATGTTACTCTGCTCAGTGCCTTCCTAATGGTAGCAATTTGCAATATAATTATTCAGTTAGGTCACTGTTAACTAATTGTCAGGCTCATTTTGATTCAGTAAGATAACGTATTAGAACCTTGGCTTTTAATTTTTTTTTCTAGAAAAGTAATCCTTCTCAACTTGTATGATATTGGTTCTGTTTCTCCAGGGTGAAAATTTTTTTAATAGACTTTATTCTTTTAGAGTGGTTTCAGGTTCACAACAGAATTGAGCAGAAAATACAGAGTTCCCACATAGCCCTCCCCATTCACATATATATCCTCCCCTATTCTCAACATCCCTCATCAGTGTGGCATATTTTGTACAATCGATGAACCAACATGGGCACATTATTATCAACCAAAGTCCATGGTTTACAATAGGGTTCACTCTTGATGTTGTACATTCTATGGGTTTTGACAAATACATAATGACATGTAGCCACCACTACAGTATCATACAGAATAATTTCATTGCCCTAAAAATCCCTTGTGCTCCATCTATTCATTCCTCCCTCCCTCCCTCTCCCCAACTCCTGGCAACCATGATCTTTTTATTGTTTCTATAGCTGTGCCTTTTCCAAAATGTCATTTGGTTGGAATCATACAGGTATGATTTGTAGCCTTTTCAGAGTGACTTCTTTCATTTAGTAATATGTCTTTTAAGTTTCTTCTATGTCTTTCATGGCTTGATAAATTTTTTTTTACTGCACATGTGTTTTTAAATTTACATATATGTACTGTTCATTGCTTCTGAGAATGTTTAGAGCTTTAGCTGTTTAAACTTACATAGTTATCAAAGGAATAAAGCCAACCACAAAATAAGAATTAACTCAAAAAGATACATACACCCTGCTATTAACAGCAACATTATTTATAATTGCCAAGATATAGAAGAATCCTAAGTGCACATCAGTAGTTGAATAGATAATGGAGATGCAGTATATGTAATGGAATACAACTCACCCATAAAAAACAAGGCTATTTTACCATTTGCAGCCCTTCATTCACTTTTTTTCCCACTTCAAAAACCAGAATTTTATAACTGGCAGAGACATTTTAATTACATCAAGAACAACAAAATACCTAGAAATAAATTTAACCAAGGAGGCTACCTATACTCTGAAAACTGAAATGACACAGAGAAATGGAAAGATT